GACCCCATGTCCTAACCACTGTGCCCTGCTGCCTCCAAACGTGATAAGGACAGGGTCTACACTGCAGACCTCTGCACCCTCTGCACCCTTTGGATCTGAGTTGACTTAGTTTTCAGGCCCCTCAAGACCAGCAGGTCTCTTTGACCTAATGTACCTGGCAACATGTGGGTGTGTGCTTAATAAATGTTTCCAAGCTCATTGATTCATTAAATATGGTTTGAACATAGGTTTATTTGTGTCATTCTGCACAGTTAATTGTTCACATTGTAATCAATGCCAGCCTTAAGATTTGGCTCCTCAAAATATATTTTCAAACAACCTAGGAACTATGCCAAGAATTAACTCTAATTGCACATTATATCATTTTTGAGTACTAGAAAGGACTGAAAGGCAAAATGCATGCTATTTAAAATTATTAAACTGGGAGTAAATAAAATGTGATTCTATCCGAAATAGAGATAAATAAAATTGCATGTCCCTCTTCTTTTTTTTCTCCCTTTTCTAGGTGTCTAGGATCATGTGAGACATTTTTTCTCGTGATTTCTAGACATTTTCTTGAATCAATACATATTTTTCTGCTGCCCATAAACACCGCTTACTGTTCAGCAGAAAAGAATCAAATTCAAACCCTGCTCTGTGGGTTCACCTACAATGAACAGAACAAACATGAAAAACACCTGGGGTGGGAGGCTTTTTATTTGATGCAGGGGTTATTCATAGTACAGTGTTTGGGTACTTTTTAGAGGCAATTTTTGTTGCCTCAAGGTATTTCTAAATTGGATCCCAGGAATAAAGGGTTTATAAATAGAAAGCATAAATAATGAACACATTCATCCCACCCGCTCCCTTACATAGTCCCAGTGGCTGCCCCTTGCAACCACCAACTCCTTGGATAGTAAGTTGGTTAGCTGACTGGGTTAGGTTGGCGGTTCTCAACCCTATCAGACCCATCACTTATTTTATAACAAATATTTTAAACCCCTTTTATTATTAAATAAAATATATAACTAATAAATAAGTATACACAAAATTTCCATAAATGTAATGCCTTAACAGTAATTAGAGGAGAAAAAATAATTTACACTAATATAATAATGATATTAATATATAATAATTATGTTTTATAATTTTATAATAACTATTTTAATATGCTATAATAGAATAAATAATGAAATTGGCAAACATTTGCACCTAAGGTATATTCACCATAATATAATACATAATGTAATATATAATACTCAATATAATGTAAGAGCAATATATACTAATACACATGTACTGCATTAGTGATTAAAAGTGATCATGCACTCCATCAAAAGACTCCTAGAATTGATAAGTAAATTAACTAAAGTTTCAGGTTACAAAATTAATGTATACAAATCAGTAGTGTTTCTAATTAGTTAGTAGTCAAGAGAGTCAAATCAAGAACTCAACACCATTTACAATAGTTGGAAAGAAAATAAAATACTTGTGAATATATTTAAGAAAGGAGGTCAAAGATGTCTACAAGGAGTACTACAAAATGCTTATGAAAGAAATCATAGATGACATAAACAAATGGAAAAACATTTCATGTTTATGGATTGGAAGAATCAACATTGTTAAAAATGTCCATATTACCCAAAGTGATTTATAGATTCAACATAATTCCCATCGAAATACCAATGTCATTTTCCATAAACTTAGAAAAAACAATCCTAAACTTCACATGGAACCAAAAAAGAGCCCTAATAGCCAAAGCAATCCTAAGAAAACAAGCAAGCAAACAAACAAACAAACAAAAAACCAAATCTGGGCCGGGCGCGGTGGCTCACGCCTGTAATCCTAGCACTTTGGGAGGCTGAGGCGGGCGGATCGCTCAAGGTCAGGAGTTCGAAACCAGCCTGAGCGAGACCCCGTCTCTACCAAAAATAGAAAGAAATTAATTGACCAACTAAAAATATATATACAAAAAATTAGCCGGGCATGGTGGCACATGCCTGTAGTCCCAGCTACTCGGGAGGCTGAGGCAGGAGGATCAATTGAGCCCAGGAGATTGAGGTTGCTGTGAGCCAGGCTGACGCCACGGCACTCACTCTAGCCTGGGCAACAAAGTGAGACTCTGTCTCAAAAAAAAAAAAAAAAAAAAACAAATCTGGAGCCATCACACTGCCTAACTTCAAATTGTACTACAGGGCTATAGTAACCAAAACATCATGGTACTGGTATAAGGGTAGACACACAGAAAATGGAACAGAATAGAAAACCTAGAAATAAAGCCATATACCTACAACCAACTGATTTTTGACAAGGCAGACAAACACATACACTGGGGAAAGGATACCCTATTAAATAAATGGTGCTAGGAAACTTGGATAATCACATGCAGATAAATGAAACTGGATTTCTATCTCTCACCATATACAAAAATTAAGTCAATATGGATTAAAGGCTCAAATGTGAGACCTGAAAGCATAGAAATTCTAGAAGAAAATATAGGAAAAACTCTTTTGGACATTGGTCTATGCAGAGAATATATGAGTAAGACCCCCAAAGCAAATACAATAATAATAAAAATAAATAAATGGGACTTAATTAAATTTAAAAGTTTATGTATAGCAAAGGAAATAATTAACAAAGTAGATAAACAATCTAAATAATAGGAGAAAATATTGTCAGACTATACATCTGAAAAAGGACTAATATCTAGATTCTACAAAGAACTCAAGCAAATCAATAAGAAAACAACAAATAACCCCATCAAAAAGTAGGCAAAAACCTGAACAGGATTTTTTTTCAAAATAAGATAGACAAATGGCCAAGAAATATGAAAATATTATTAATCATCAGGGAAGTGCAAATTAAAACCACAGTGAGATACCACCTTACCCTGTGAGAATGGCCATCATTAAAAAGTCAAAAATATAATGGATATTGCCTCAGATGTGGTGAAAAGGGACTGCTTATACACTGTTAATGGGAATGTAAATTAGTACAATCTCTTTGGAAAACAGTACAGAGATTTTTCGAAGAACTAAAGTATATCTACCATTCAATTCAGCAATCTTACTACTGGGTATCTATCCAAAGGAAAATAAGTCATTTTACAAAAAAGACACCTGCACCTAATGTCTATCACAACACAATTTACAATTGCGAAGATGTGGAATCAACCTAAGTGCCCATCAACTGAGGAGTGGATAGAGAAAATGTGGAGCAGATAAAGAACATATATATACCATGGATTACTACTCAGCCATAAATCAGGATGAAATAATGTCTTTTGTAGTAACCTGGATGAAACTAGAGCCTGTTATTCTAGATAAAGTATCTCAGGAATGAATAAAACAAATACCACATGTTCTCACTTATAAGAGAGAGCTAAATGAGGGGCATATATGGGATTAATATAAAGTGGTGTAATGGATATTAAAAACTAAGAAGTGGAAAAGGTAGATGGGGAGTGAGGGATAAAAATCTACCTGTTGGGTACAATGTACACTATTTTGGTGATGGACACATTAAAAGCCCTGACTTCAACATAATATAATTCACCCATGTAACAAAAAACACTTGTATCCCTAAATCTATTGAAATAAGAAAAAGAGAAAAAAGTAATTATACAATGTGTAATTTTCCTTCAATTTTCATAATAGTGATATACCTGGAAAATTCATCTTATATTGACACTGTACAAGCCACTTTGTGGTTATATGAAAATGAAGTTAGCATCTAGGCTTAGATCATTAGAAGCAGGTGTTCAACACCTAACTGAATGTCCTCCAAGACATTCAAAAGCTTACAGGACACGGGGAGAGTATTTGTTGTGCAGAACTGTCCTGAGCACTGCACCATTCTAGCATTCCTGGCCCTACCTTTTAAAGGTAGGGGCCAATATTGGCCCCCACCCCCAATCATTGTGTCATTCAAGGACTGCCATAAATTTCTCTAAATGCCCTCTATTGGGTGGTACTCCCTGCACTGAAAACCGTTGTATTAACTCCTAGTATTAGATTTAGCCCCAAATAGTAGTGATGATTTATTCTTCTGACTTTTTGTAGTCCTTGAAAACCAAAGGAATGTCTACAGTGAAATCATCAATAATTGGGTTAGTTAGGAGACGAGTTTCATGAAAGTAAGATCTAAGTCTATCTAGTGTGTGCAATAACTCAGTACTCAACATGATATTTGGGTGTTACTAATTCTTGCTCGAATGAGTAAATGATTTGGGATTTCACTATCTGGGTTAATTAAAAGATATACACTATTTAAAAGAAATAGATTTTTTTACTTTCTAGTACATGTGACAATACCTAGACGTTCACTAGAAGACTTACATTTATGAATCATTTGCCAATTCCATTCAATTGTTTCTGTTTGAATGAGTGACATAAAATGTTTGATGATGTTTTGAACCTATCAAAGTCTTTATGTCATTTTTGAGCAAGGAAACATGTTGAAGACTCTGTATGAACTGTGGTCCTTGGCCTAAGAGGCTTGCTTAATTTTTCATAATGGTCTATTAGGCAGCTATTGTTTATTAACCCTATTTTGACAAATGAAGAAATTAGGCTCAGCAAAGAGAATAGTCTGCTCAAAGTCAGGCAGTTGGTTCAATAGTGCAACAGGGTCTGAATCCAGAACTATCTCAAGAAATCATGCTGTCCATCTTTCTTAAGTGAGGCCAAGCTAGGTTTCTGTAAATCTATATTTGAAGGACCATGAATTATGGATATGTGAGGTCCACTTTAGTATGATTTTACTCTATATGTAGTTCCAATTGTCATGTTTATTAAATTCCATTTTCCTAGTGGTTCAGGGACTTTTACATTGATCCTGATCTTGGGCAAGTTCCAGGATTCAAGGCCATGTGTGAGCTCGCATTAGTGAGCTTCTGGAGGGCAGGGGATATTTCCCCTTTATCACTGGGTCTGCACAACCTCGCATGGTGTCTGCACAAAGCTGGTGTTCAGCAAGTGTTTGTTGAGCTGCCTTTAATTGAATAACGTTTCTTTTTTTAGGCCTTGGCCTTACACAATATTTCAGCGAGGCTTCGACCTGGTGTTGGGAGAGCAGCCCTCTGATAAAATATTCAGGTAAGTGGTTACCTAGGGACTGGCTTACATATGTCTGCAAGCCCTACGTCTAACTTCCCACTGATTTTACTGTCTTAGTGTTAAGGTACAAAATGGAGAACACTCTTAGTTGTTCTGCCGGCCTAGTAGCAAAAGTGCTTGCCCCCAGATCATACCCAGTGACAGCATGGAGGACTTCGAAGTTAAACAGATTCTTTTTGGGTCCTGGCTTCCTTCCTTGCCAGCTCCGTGAGCCTCAGTAATTAACTAACCTCTTGGAGCCTCCAGTTTCCAAGAGGAGGCTTGGAAAGATGGGGCTGTATTACACTCCTGGCTGGATTGTCGTGAGGGAGAATGCAGGGACAGTCCCTGGCACAGAAACTGGCACAGAGCAGGCAATTAATGTCAGCTCCTGCCTCTCCATTTTGCATCTAATTTGCACCTTCCTCTTGGAGTCTTAGGTTGCTCAATATGAATCTCTCCTGCCTAGCTTTCTCCTTCTCTAAACTCTACCTCATTATTACTGTTTTTTTAAATCTACTATTCTCCTGATCAAATTGGATGCTTCTAGTTCCTCCCAGATTTCTACTTACATACTTGGAAATAGCATATGTTAGAAAGGCCCACAAGCAGAGGAAGAATTTGAGTGCCAGTCATGAACTATTGGATTTTCACAAAGCTGAATTCACACTAGGTCTTAGCTAGAGCACAACTTATTTCCAAACTAATATCTTATCACCCATTCATTTTGTCAATCTGTCCTGCGCTTACCATACATTTGCTGAGTATCTACTAAGTGCCGGAGACTGTGCTTGGCCTGGCAGTATGGATGTGAAGGCATCTGCCTCCATGAGCAAGCAAGCCCTCTAGTAGAGGAAGCGAGAGGTCCTTCATGTGCTGATGGCAAAGGATGAATTCAGCTACTGGATGCCTTTGTCAGAGAAATGGTGAGCAGCTGGAAGCAAATGGAAGACTTGGTTCCTTTTCACTGGACCCATAGGGTTTGCTGAGTCTCACATATTCGCTGCCGCCATCTCAAGCCCCATTCCAGACCCCCTTGTCATCCACTCCTGGACTAGGTATGAATTTTTGCTCCTGCATTTGCCTTCTAGAGTTCACTTTTCTGCAGAGGTTCTGCTGCTCCTCCTGGTAGCTTGGGATGGACTCGGCTTGGCCACCGCAGTGTTGTCCTAAGGCATGCTCCTAGCTAGTGTAGATTTACAGAACCACGTCCTCTGAGGGCCTTCCCTTCCCCTTTTCTTTCCTGAGTGTCTCTCCTGGGGCAGGCCGGGTCATATTAATGGCACCGGCTGCAGGGTGCTTTTGAGGATTTGTGCTGCAAGAGATGTCAGCCACAGTCCTTAGTCTGTGACTTGGATGTTAAAACTTCCCAATAATGATTTATCATTTGGCTGACTTTTTCTCCCGGTTTCCTGCTCCTGGTCTTCCAGAACCTTCATAGGATGATAAAAATAAGGCAGATCAGACAAATCAGAAGCCTGATGGAATTTGGCTGACTAACGTAGATAATTTCCCTGTTCCCTAAAAGTCAGAAACTTACACTTTGAAAACCCAGGGCCTTAATGAAATGTCTATTAAAATAGAACCTGCACAAAAACTGTGTTTCCAGGCGCCATATTTCCCCACATTTACTGGGTGCCAACTGGATGTGATATCCAAGCACTGTAGAGGGACCAGTTGTGTGGTTCGACTCATGAGATTAACTATCTCAGGAGCCAATGGGTTAGTCAGTAAGTCATTACAATTCTGGTCCCTAACATGGCAACAAACTAGTCTCTCAACTGCAAGCAATGGGTCATGATCTGCTTATTTTAGGTACTAGGAACTTTAATTGAAACTACTCTGGAATCTGAGTAAACCACCTACAAATGGCCACTCTGGAAAATTCTATGGCCTGTTCAGTGACTATAATTAGCTATTTACTTACTACTCTGCTTAGTCATGATTTAGTGTCCCAGTGAATTCCAAGCCGCCACACATTTTCCTAGACTATGGAATAAAGTTTAAATCCTGACATTCAAGCCTTTCCACCACTGAATGCCAGCATACAACTCCCTTTAAATAAGCTGCTCTTCTCCTGCGGAAGCTTCCATTCTCAGTTGAGTCTGTCTTCTAACTGATCCATTGTCCCATATAACCTGAGTATCCTCCACGCTGCACATTTGCTCAAACCCTTTCCTATAGCAAGAATTCACGTTCTCCTCTTAATATAAATACTACCTGTTTTCATGGACCAGACCGAGTCTCAACCAAAGCCAACATCTACTGAGCACCTACTATGGCAAGGCACTGTTTTAGATGCTATGGATATGACCAAACAACTATGACCAAGATAGGCCCTGACTTCACGAATTTACAGTCTGGACTAGAAAGCAGTCTCCAACCCTGGCCCTCTATACGCACCAGTGTGCTTTAAAAATGACCAGTGATCTTACCCAGCACAAACCAACTAATACGAAAGTTCTGGGAGGTGCAGCCAGGGCATGAGTGCTTTCTAAAAGCGCCATGGGGATTCTACTCTGTAGGCAGAACTGAAAGACACTGCTCTAAAGCTTCTCCAATCCACTGCGGCAGTCTGCCATGACGTTTCCTCCTCCAAGTTTCTATAACGTAATGACTATAATATTTACATGTCAATTATTTTAATTTTTACTTATTTTTAAATTGTCTATTTGTTTCCAATGAAATGGTTGTCTTTTTGAGAGAACAAATAGTATTCTATATAGATTTAAATATTTAATATCTAACGTACAATTGTGAATACTGTAGGCCTTGGATAGATATCTGTAGATGATCTTTTCAGGTATTTCCTAAGGACTTGAACTCATGAACCCAGACTAGGAAAAGACCTTGATGCTCCCACTAAACTTGGTGGTTGGCAATCCCAAATAACTTGGGAGTGGTCCAAGCTAGACTCAGAGGGTCCGAGAGGATCCCAAACCTCCTGACTGAATCTTCTCACCAAACCCATTTTCGTGTCTGAGAAGTCCTTTCCACGGTGGCTAGGACCACTTCATCCCACCAGACTGTGGCAGAAGCGATCAGCTCCCACCTGTCACCCCTCAGACACCTTCCTCCCGAGTGGGTGCCTGCCTTCCTGGGATGGCCTGCTCTGGAAAAGAGCAGAGAGGTCAGGGCAAGAGCTGTATATGTTTCCCACGTTCTGTTTCATGCCAAGCCATGCCTGCAGCACAGGCTTACTCTCTCCAGCGTCTCTGGCCAGTGTTTACTTCTGAACGGAAATTTCAAGCTCCAGTTCAGTAGGGCCGTGTGCAGGCCCAGTGCACAGCTGAGCCGTCAACTGCACTGGTCACCACCAGCTGCCACAGAGAAGGCCCAGTTGGGAAAGCGCTCCAGACACTCGCCCAGCTTCTCTTGGGTGGCTTTTTGTAGTTGTTCCTGCCAAATCTGCATGAATGAGGGACAGATGAGATTTTAGGACACAGCTTTTCTCTGACAGTTTGTCTATATTTGGATTTTGGAGTTACTCAGTAGATTTTGCAGATGAAAGAAAACTTCAGAATTTCAGAGGCCTGAGCTAGCATGGGCTCAAAAGCTGCTGTGATCCGTACCTGAAAATCAGTCCAATCCCAATTTTCCCATTTATTGAAGGGTGAGCTTGGGGAGGCTTCTAATGTTCTTAAAATAGTAGTTGACAAGTTGGTTGGTAAAATGGGGCCAAATGAGCAACCTCAAAGGCTGATGTAGGAACAAACGGGGCAGCTCTGCAGAGCGCCTGGCCCTTTGACAGTTCTCAGTAAGGGTTAGTCTCACCCACACCTCACTTTACTTCCTCTACAGGGATTCACCTTGACCCTACCAGACACTGCTTTTCTTATTCACTTGGTCCAGTGCAGTGTCCCAGGAGCTGCTGTGCACTTAGGAAGTTCCTCACAATGTCAAACCCAGATCCATGTTGACTTTTAAATCCGTTTAAACCCAGAGGCAACCCATGTCCTGCTCTCTATGAGGGATAATCTAGACCACAGCTTCCATCTTTCAATCTGAACATTGAGATTGCAGCCTCCGACATCTTGTGCAAACTACAGAACCCAGCAACATCTGCTTATTAATCAGTCAATTTATTTATTGAGCAATCTCCCTGGGCCAGAAGTTGTGTCAGAAGTGGGGATACGAGGATGACAAAGGGCTGTCTTCTGCTATCCAAGAGTGCACATTCTCATAAGGGGTGGTGGGTTCACCAGGTACAATGCAGTATCTCGGGAGCAGCAAGGGACTTTGTGTTGGGTATGCAGAGGACAGTCTCTTGCTCGGTCTGAGGGTTGAGAATGAAGGGGGGGGGCTTTCTGGAAGGGATAGGGCCTTAACTACATCTTAAAACGAGTAGTCAGGCAAAGAAAAAAGGGAAGAAAATCCAGACAGAAGGAATATTTAGGAGCAAAAGCAAAGAGGTGAGAAAATCAGGACAACTTCATGAACTACGGCCAGTCGCGTTGTCGGAGCACTGAGTGAGAAGCAGGGTTTGGTGAAAGCGGCGGATGCGGGGCGAGGGGCTCGCCTCTGTGGGGGCGGACCTCTGTCCTGAGGCGCGGGTGCCTGGCAGTTTAAGCTGGGGGAGATGTGGTGTGCTTTTCCCTTAGGGATATTACTGAATGCACAAAAAGAAGGGAAGACTGGTAGATGGATGGGCATGGAGCCTCCTCTTCCAAAAGAAAAATTAGACATCAGAAATGTGCTAGAACTGCCGACAGCTGCCTAAAACCTGTTACATAAATTATAAACTACAGGTCATGGATTTGTTGCTCTGCATCAATGTGAAAATTGTAATTTTAAAACTAAAATAGAAAACAAAAACTCATTCCTACATCCAATAAACTGGCTTCTCCTTGGTACCATTCAAACATGTAGATGTTCTCTCTGAAACAACATTAAGAGCAGTTGTTCTTCCCACACACATGCACACATGGCCTGCCTATTACAGTGTTCCCATCTCAAGAATGTCCACTAAGAAATGCAAAGTGAAACCATACAAAGTCCTGGAGGTTGTTTCCTTCAACCCACATTCATCCTTAAGTCCCATATTCCAGGCACCTTGAGGCAGTCATTGCCCCCGAATGGGCTTCTTAGTCTTACTAGATGAAGTAAGTGTGTGTGTGTGTGTGTGTGTGTGTGAGAGAGAGAGAGAGAGAGACAGAGACAGAGAGACAGAGACAGAGAGAGACAGAGAGAAGGGGCTGTCATGCCTTCATTTTCCAACCACCTCACAGAAGAATGAAGCGGCAGTCTGTCTTCTTTTGTCCCGGGAGGAATGGGCTTTCCTTCCCTGGTGCAGGCCCCTCCCTGCAGGACCTGCTGCCTTGTGCCCCCGGGGGTGGGAGATTCAAGCGCCTCTTTGAAAGCAAGCAGGGTCTCTGACAGATCAATGCTGCTTCTTGCAGGACTTCACCCAACAGGTCAGAGAAGCTGAGGACCAAGAGTCAGGTGGGAAATGGGAGAGAAATCTCCCAAACCCTGGTCACTTTCGCCTTACCAATGGCTCTGCCCCTGGACTCCCCTGCACTAGGCTGGCACGTTGACCCCCTTTCCAGCTGCTCTCGTCCCGAGGCTGTCTTTCAGGTGGTGGGTGGAAACCGTGCGGCTTGGCTGCCCTTCGATTCATGAGCCCGCTCACCGGGTCTGCTCTGTGGCCAGCAGTCTGGAGAGGGCTGCAGTTTTTAAAATAAAAGGTCTCCAGTCATCAGTGTGGTTTCCTAGCACCGCAGGCAACCTGAGGCGGTTGGAGGGGTGTGTGGGTCAGGGAAGGGAAGGAAGCAGGACTCTGAACGAGCGGCTGTGGCCAGCATGCTAATGGGGCCAGGGCCTGGTTCCCTTTAATTGCGAGCATCCTTCCTGCGTTCCTTCCTTGCGTCAGGATAGAGGGGTGCCAGACTGCCAACCTCCTGATAACCCACCCACACTGGCTTTTATCCCAAGATTATTTTTGACTATGAACACAGAGCATTTGAATGCCTTTGAAATGAAATGAATGAATAAATAAACAAATAATCTCTCATGGTTTTCTTAAGCTCTCCCTTGAAATGTTGATTGATTCTTTTATTAGTTTTAGCCCTTGTTATAAGAATTTTAAAAAAAATCCTCCCTGTGTCCCAAGGGTTAGCGCCTTGGCTAAGGGTGGGGTGGGGTGCAGAGAATAAACCCGGGCCTGTTTTGTTTATGCTCCTCCCGCTTCTCTCCTCGCTGGGGGCTCCTGGCTTCAGTCGCTTTTGCTCCCATCACACGGAAGCCAGAAGAAGCGGAGCTTTTTTCTTTTCTTTTCCTTGTTAGGGTTCCTCCAGGCACAAAGAGATGCCATCGCTGCCACTGTGGTCTGCAGCGTGGGATGGGGACAGTGGGAGGCTGGCGTCTCTCTTCAATTAAAATGCCTCCAATTATATCTGACTCAAGACAGGGGAAGCCCAGCTTCAAATCTGAAGAAAGCTGGAGCTTGCTTTTTCTGACTTGATCAAAACCACTTCTAACAGCGCGTGAGCGGGCGGCATATCAGTTCTCCAGCTGTCTGGCCACGTGAGCAAGGTTGGCTGCTCTGCCTTCTTGGGACTCAGTCATCACATCCGTAACATGCCAGTCAGCCCCTCTCCGAAGAGGACTGCTGGCGGGGGCGGACGCAGCTGGGGGCAGAAGGCCAGGCCCCTGGCAGGCGGTTGCCCCCAGTCCTGACCACTGGTGCTGGTGTCCCTGCAGATTCACCTACACCCTTGGGGAGGGCATGTGGTTGCCCCTCAGCAAGAGCTTCGTGATCCCGCCAGCAGAGCTGGCCATCAATCCATCAGCAAAGTGCAAGACGGACATGACCGTGATGGAGGACGCTGTGGAAGTCAGGTGAGTCTGGGGCAGTCAGGTGAGTCCGGCTTCAGTGCCAAGGCCTGCAGTGGGCTCCAGAGGCAGAGCAAGAAATGACCCGAAGGTTCCAAGTGCTGGGAAGGGAATCATGCAAGCTAAAGGGAGAAACTGGCAGGTGGCTTTCAAATTCCCCACATGTGGTGCCAGGGTCTGCTCTTCATTTGGGTCAATATTGCACACCCCAAGGCTCATTCACTGGAAGAAGACATAAAATTAGGGTTTGTAAGCACTTCCCACATACCCTAAGGACTTACAAGCAATATAATGTTAATTTCTTTGCCCACGTTTGGACCTCTTCTTTGACTGGGCATTACAGTCTTGGCTCACTTCCCAGATATGAAGAATGCCCATGATTTGTTAGTTCAAGCCTTGGAGTCTGGTTGATCTTCAATTTTTATCAGAGAGCGTGAGACACGATCCAGGTGACCAGATAGGAGAGTGGAATGTAACTCTACCTGCTGCTTCTGGAAGCCCCTTGACTTCTCCCTGCCTCTTACTGTTTCTCCCACAGAGAAGAGCTGATGACTTCATCCTCTTTCGACAGCCTGGAGGTTCTCTTAGATTCCTTTGGGCCCGTGCGGGACTGCAGCAAAGATAACGGGGGCTGCAGTAAGAATTTCCGCTGCATTTCAGATCGCAAGCTGGACTCCACTGGTTGCGTGGTAGGTCTGCCCTGCCTGGCTAGTCTGCTTGGGGGATGGGAGGGAAGGCGCAGGGAGAGACACAATGCAGGTGTGTAGACCACGGTGTGCCTGATCCTCGCTTGCAGCACCATCTAGTGTAAACTAGGGCTTTTCTCCTGATAGAGATGAGGAGCTCATCACCAGTATGCAGAGCACCTACTATAGGTACCATAAGTATTCAAGGGAAGTTTCATGAATGACATAGCATGATTCTTTCTTTCCAGTCTTGCAAGACAGTTGATGAGAACTGAGAACTAATTAGTTGCTTATTAGCATGACATTGATGCGAAATGTGACAGGAAATTGTAGGAGAAACCTACCTAGAACCAGAGTGATGAAAAAAGTAAATTATTGCAGGAATGGTAGAGAAAACTAAGAATAAATGGGTTCCCTTTGTGGCCACAGCAGTGAGCGCCTGCTCCTCCAAAGGTGGGTTTTCTGCTTTGCTATCGGCTCTGTTTCAAACACGCGATGCTATTAAGGCGCGAGGGCGCGGGGGTGGGCTGAGACGTGGGCCGCGGCTGAGGCCGCTGTGGCGGGCGATGGAGGCAGGAACGCGCGGCCTCAGGCGGCCGGCATGGGCGTTCTCATGCCTCTCGCGCCCTCTCGCTGCTGTCTCTTTCCAGCCCTCCCTTCTCTAAAGGGCAGAGTGATGCAGTCCTCCAGAGAGGAGAGGGAATGGGACAGAGAAGGACGCAGGGAGGCCAGGCAAAGGGAGAGCGGAGAAGAGGGAGGTGATCGGTGTGCGGCGGGAGCAGGAGGGCCAGGAGCTGCCCGCTCTGGGCAGGGCGCGGTGTCCCCTCACGCCTCCCAGCCTGACGGCCGGCTGGGTGAGGGCACCCAGGGCAGGGGCAGCTGTGAGGAGGCGGGCCAGCACCCCTTTTACCTCCCTGCTCCCCATCCCAGAGCCCCGTTCTGTTCAGGGAGCTGTTCTTGGTCAAAGACGGTGCGTGTGCCTGCGGCCAGGTGCAGCTGTCCCGGCCCGAGCCTCCCGAGCCTTCACCAGGTAGGCAGCAGTCGACAGGGGCCGGCTCCCTCCGAGAAGGGAGAGAAAGTGAGGATGAGAAAAGGGAAAGAGAGAGGGAGCTGAGGAGTAGGCAGGAAGAGGGGCAAGAAGAACAGAGGGAACAATCAGGAGAACACAGAAAGATGCTCTTTTAGGCCACGCCTTCCAACGGTGGCCAGCAGGTAAGCTGATGTCCCCGGGGCTCCCCTCCCCTTGGCTGGTCCACACTCATGTGTCTGAAGCCGGGAGCTCCCAGCTGGGTTTCTCAGGAGACAATTTCACTGCCTAATGGAGCTCCCAGCTGAGGCACTTTCTAAAAAAAAAAACTATTCAGTCTTCATTTCTTCATCCAGATTCCAACCTTTCGTTTCCCATTGCTCTCTGGCTCATTCTAAGTCCCGACACACTGTGCACATGTGTGTGAACCGCCCCCATGTGAGCTTTAATGTGTACACACATCCACACGCACACGCACAGGATAGACTCCCTCTCTTGCCACTTCTCTGCCCTTCCTGAGCCCCGCAGGGCCTGCCTGACAGATGCCTTCTGTTGGTGATCCTAGCCCCTTTTGCTTGGCATATAGCTGTGCTGATGGATTTTTGTACTTTTAACACTGTGATCTGTGAGACAGAGCTAGCAAGAATAGTTCTGATGAATATGCATTTGCAATAAGGCTGCTGCATTTTAGAATTGGAGCCACTGCAGAAAGTCACCCAATTATACCAATACTTGGCATTAGCATAATACTTTGAAGTCACTGGTCCACGTGGCTCCCGGAGAGGGAGGCGGCAGGCGGATTGGCAGACACGCTCGATGTACTGCTTCCCATTGGCTGTGGAGCATGTGATCCCTGGGGCAGGAGGACGATCGGTGAGAGGGGAAGCGTCCCATCGTGACCCTGTCACCCTACTGAGAAGACCAGAGATGGAACTTTGAGCCTGACCTGACTCCCGTGGGCTTTAGGACTGTCCCAAAGCCCTGGTCTATTAGCAGAGTGGTCCTTTGTCATCTGGAAGTGGACCAGGGACAAAGGCGTCAGCTGCACTGGCTGCAGTTTAAGAACTGGCCTGCCCTTCTCCTCTCCACATAAACCATCACACCCAGTCTTCTCGGTGCTGAACTGAAAGGCTTCCCAAGGTAGGTATATTTTTATGAAAGGAGAAAAAGATGAGAAGCTAGAACACGCTGGCCCTTAAGGAACCTGGGAAGGGGGCAGAGATGTGGGCAGAGGCACAGCATGTACCTGTATATTTTCCTGATAATTCTAACCAGACAGGTGGGATTCATGTTCAGTCCCCATCACTGCTCAACCTTCATTCTCTCTAGGAAGCAGGTTTCTCAGTTATGCATGGACTCCCACAGGGTTAATTGCCACCCAGTTAATTACCCTGTTGTTTCTATAGTCTCTGAGGACAGGAAACAAATCTCCGTGAAAGGCACAGACCTGTACAAACCCCAGTCACACTGCTCCAAACCACACCACTCTCCAACAGCTGGGGATTGCAGAAACCCCAGGAGGGTTCCCAGAGCAGAGGCCAGCCCCTCACTGCTGGTGACCGGATCTGCTGGTTGTCCTCATGTGCAGGGTGGGAGCTGTGCCCCTCCCCCGTGAAGCGCAAGAGCAGCGGCTCCCTGTTCCGTAGAGCCTCATGGGCCCTTCCAGGGTGGGCATTATCTTACTGCTGCTGTAACGAAGTGCCGTAAACTTAGTGGCTTAAAGGTACACAAATTCATTATCTCGCAACTCTGTAGATGAGAATCTGACATGGGCCTCACTGTGCTCAAACCAAAGTGTCACCAGGGCTGCATGGCCTTCTGGAAGCTCTAGAGAAAATCCCTTCCCTAGCATCTTCCAGATTCTAGAGCACCCCTAAGTTTCTTGGCTCATAACCCCATCCCTCCACTTTTAAAGCCAGCAACAGTGCATTTTTTGATAATTTTTGTGGCACATCTCCTCTCTCGCCAATGATACCTCCCTCTTCCACTTTTAAGGGACTCTTGTGATTACATTGGGCCCACCTACATCATCCAAGATAGTCTCCCCATTTCAAGGTCCTTAACATAGTTACATCTGCAAGTCCCTTTTGCCACGTGAGGTGACATGTTCACAAGTGTCTAGGATTGTGTCGTGGATATCTTTGGGGGAACCAACCCTCCATGGGGGATGGCAGTGGGGCTTGGAGCAGACTTGGCAGGCAGGACTGCAAACTTGCTGGGAGCTTGAGCCAGGGCATCTTCATTCTTATCAAGCCTACCTGTTGAGCCTTACCATAAAATTGTGTTTGAAACTTTGAAAATGATTTCCAATATGATGCACACACACACACACACACACACACACACACACTTGCAAGAAAGCCTATGCTCTATTGCTCTATAAGATGCCTGAATGTCCTTAGGTGAGGGGCTGTGCCATGGAGCGGGGAGAGGTCGCTGTCTGCTTCCTCGTGTACTGAACACAAGCTCTTCCTTGCTGGGGCATTATGCTCTGATGAGCTTCAAATCGTCCAATGACCCCACCGCCCTTCCCTCCACACGCTGCCCACAGCGGTCTCCCGTGAAATGTGTCATTTCACCTCTACTGGAGCACAGATGTGTGGAGGCCATCACACATGACCATCGCTCTTTCCCTCTGTAGGACAGTAAGCAGAAGAGTATGCCTCGGAGGCTTCCAGAGAAATGTGGGCAGGAAGCTCTCACAGCCTGAACTATAAAATTAACTCCATCAGACTCTTCCCCTGGGAGAAGCCGTCCTGAATGGCTCGGGCCTGCGTGTCAGAGCCCACCAGACAGTTTGGAAATCATTTTTGTGAAAGGAATAAGATTGCCATCTAGGAAAAGAGAACCTATTCCAAGTAGGAATTACAGTTGTGTGACTTGTGAACCATCCAGGTAAAGCGAGGCAGGCTCAGCAGCAAGCGTTTGTCCCTCTTCTCCCAGGGCCCCGAATATGCTCCTGAGTCCAGTATTCCTGTCCGGCTGCCAACAGAGGGTCCGTTTCATAGTCGGGAACTGAGGTCTGTGCATCTCCGACTTAGCGAGATTTGATTAGCCTCCTGAGCAATTAATCAACTAAAAACCATTGGTAGGAAAGAGAGGGGAAGGATGACAAAAAAAAGGAGTCGAATGGGAAAAATAATTTTAATCTCATTAGCAAATTATGCCTGAGACCAGTAATAAGTCAAGAAGCTGCGAATATCTCATGAAAGATGATTAACCTTGTGTATTTTAGGGGTCACTGAAATATGAGCTCATTTATTAGGCCTTCTTGATGGGGGAGAGTTGTTGCTGTAATAAATGGAGTTTTCTTCTTAAGCCTGTAGTTTATAAAGTCCCTGGGACTGCTCCATGTAACCTCTGCAAAGAAGGGTCACATATGGCCTTGGTGCTCTCTCCTGAGCAAGCAGTTCTCTTTCAAGGAACAAGTGGAAGGATTGTCCACACCCAGGAGAGAAGAACACGCAGCCCTTGCAAACAGAAAGGGAAAGCTTCTCCTGGAGGCAGGATTTCTTCCTGACAACTGGGCTCTGGCTGAAAAGACTTCTAGGAGGAGTGGCATGGTGCAGAGACTGTGGTTTCTTTATATTTAGATATAGATTTTGAGGGAACCCATGATGTCAATATAATAGAAGGAAGAGTCAGGCAAAAAACAATAAAAGGCGTACCATACAATACTTGATTGATTAACTCATTGGAGAATGGGTGTTCTGGTTGCTAAGGGTTAAAAGAAGAAAACTCTATTTTTGGTTTTAGCCTTTTATTTCTGGAAGTCTTTCTAAAATGTTTTACTCTGAATTGCAGCCCAAGTAAGTTAGAGTGCAGTAAAGATAATTGCATCCTTTTCGGTGATTGAGGATCTTGTCTTGCCTTCAAGGTCATCACTCTGGACAATTTGCAGTGTTCCATTCTAAAATATTTGCACTTGTAATGTTTTGTGTGTTCATAAAAGGAGACAGAGAGAGAGAGAGAGAGAGAGGAAATGCTAAGCTGAATCTTCAAATCCATAATTGACCCCAGAATATACTCTGGGAATTGCTTAAAACAATCAAACAAACAAGTCTGCAGGATTGCTTTACCTAGCTGACACACTGACTTTAATCCTTTAAGGATTCCAATGAGTACAGGGTGTATGGCCCTTGAGAAGCAGCATGGCAGAATGGCAGGAACACACACAACTGAAAGGGCCGATCTAGGCCCAAAGTCTGACGCTGCCATTTTCCACCACTGTGACACTGAACAAGTTACTTGGTCTTTCTGAGTCTAATTTTGCTCATCTGTAAAATGGGAAAGATAAAGTATACTTGTGTTGTTGGGATTGAAGATAATATATGTAGACTGTCCTGCACAAAGAATTGCTTAATTCTTCATAGCTGTTATTTTTTTTAGCTTTACTGGTAAGAAAAATAAAATTCAACTTGGACAAGGCAGCTAACTGTCTTTTCTCCAAATCTTCTAAGGGAGGGTGAATTTTAGGTAGTCCAATTTGGGATAGCAATGGTCATCTAGACATTAGGGCCAGGCAAGATTTTGGAATTCTGGAACAAAGCCTACTCATGTTTCTTTTGGTGAAGTCTTTGTCAAAAGTCATGCTTGGGCCAGGTGCGGTGGCTCACACCTGTAATCCTAGCACTCTGGAAGGCCAAAGTGGGAGGATTGCTTGAGCTCAGGAGTTTGAGACCAGCCTGCGTAAGAGCAAGACCTTGTCTCTACTAAAAATAGAAAGAAATTAGCCAAACAACTAAAAATAGAAAAAAATTAGCCGGGCACGGTGGCACATGCCTGTAGTCCCAGCTATTTGGGAGGCTGAGGCAGGATTGCTTGAGCCCAGGAGTTTGAGGTTGCTGTGAACTAGGCTGACGCCATGGCACTCTAGCCCAGGCAAGAGAGTGAGACTCAGTCTCAAAAAAAAAGGCATGCTTGAAGGAGCGTTCTGAAAAAAAAAAAAGCAGGTGGTTGGGAACATGGAGAGTCCCAGCCTGAAATGGATAGCTGGTGTAGTAGGTGGAACCACCCCCTGGGGTGGGGACAGTAAGAGGACTGGCTTTATCTGCTTGATGGCTTCTAGCAAGCTTTACAGAAGGAAATAGTAATAATAATAAGAACAACAACAAAACTCAACTCATGGCAACCAGTGCAGCCCATGTAATTCCAATCAAACTTTTGGTTTTCTGTGTGTTGATGCCCCAGCCACGCCTGGGCAGCCACACAGTGCTGAAGCCAGCTCCCTTATGGTGGCACATCTGGCCTAACAGCTGGGTGGCCACGGCATTTGATGGGTCGGGGGCTGACAAAACATGGGGTGCAGTTCTCAGCTGCCTCATTTGTTTGTTTACCATCATCTGGAATATCTGGGTTTTCCCAGCATGGGCCAGGCCCTGGAAACTTCTTTAACTGCTGTCACCTTCCAGCACTCGAGCTGCTTTCACAGAAGCCTGGCAGGCCCATAGGGGGCCATTTGTTTCGGAAATTGCAGAATTAGTGGTAGCAAACAGTGCATGTCCTGCTGTGATCTTGCCTGGGAAAGGGGGAAGGAGGAGAGGTGGGGTTCAGAGGCACGCCTGTGGCAGCTCTGGGCTACTGGGCCAAGGTGCTTGCCAGCACAGGGGAAGAGCAAGCCAGGCAGCAGGGGAGGAAATGTTTCATGTTGCATTCCACTGAGATTTGAAAGTTTTGTTTGTGTTTGGTTTTGATTTTGGAGGAGTGTGTTAGCTAGCCGAAGGTATAGTATAGCACAGTCATTAACAGCCTTGGTGGCATTGGAGTCAGATCTAGACAGAACCCCAGCTCTGCCACGTTCTAGCTGCTTGACCCTGGGCAACTTACTTGCTCCCTTCTAGCATGCTAGAAGGGAGCAGCTCTAATCAAATGTGCAGAATCCCTTGCACAGGCAGAAGGGAAGGATGGCAACAAAATAATAAGAAGAAAAAGTCATCCATCGGCTTTTAAATGGAACCCAGTTGCAGCAAGGAGTTTATGCATACATGGACAATGTTAATGGTTTCCTTATCTCTAAATAGGGATAGTACAGGGTGTTGTGAGACAAGAAACTTAAAGCACTGAGCACAGTGCCCAGCTCCTAGCACGTGCTCAGTGAACGGTGACGGCTGGGGGAGCCTGGTGAGCCAACGATAGCCAGCCTGCCAGCGTGCCAGGCATGGTCCTGCCGGAGCAGCCGTGTGACTCAGGAGTGTTTAAACTCTCTGTGCCTCAGTTTCCTCATGTGTAAAATGAGGATGATCGCACTGCTTAGCTCCTAGGCATGTCTGAGGGTTACACAAGGCACAGACTGAGTTAGACCAGCGCCCGGCCTGCCACGGCACTGCGCAAGCACCGCGTTGCTCACCAGTCCCCCTTGCCTTGCGCACGGCCGGGCATCTCCTAGAGTTTCTCGTTGCTGTCGTTCCTGGGGAGTTTACTGAGGGCAAGGCAGCGCTGAGCAGCTCAGGCTTTCACATGAAGAGTGTCTAGCCCACGCCAGGTGCAGCACCTGCGGCACGCGCAGCAGGTGCTCTTGTCTGTGTGTCTTCCAAGGGCCTCCGGGACGCAGGAAGGCGACAGTGCAGCTGTGGCGAGAGTGGCCCGGCCGCTCTCCAAGTCGCCGAGAAAGTCCATGTACCCGCGGGCTGGCATCCCTGCTCGGCCCACTCTGGCACTGCCGTTTGGTGCGAATGTTGACAAAGTGCTTTGAACGCTTAAAAAGTCCTCTCAGTTCTAAGGCCAAACAGCCGCACTGCCTCCCCTAGCCCAGAGGAGTCTGCCGATGCGCCTCAGTTCCGGCGGTGGCTTCCACCCGTGCCGGCCGGAGCCCAATCGGGAGGCCGCACGCCTCGGCTCTGCCCGCCGCGCTGCCCTCCCAGCCTTGTTGCAGGACGTGGCTTTAATGCAAATGTTTGTGATTTGTGCCCAGAGAGAAGGAGCAAGATGTCAAAAAAGGTCACTTGCTTTTAAAGGGAGTCTAGCGGCTCGCTCGCCAGCGCTGGCGGTGTGGAGGCTGAGCGTTAGGGTCGGTGTCAGCGATGACACTCGGTTCCCAGAGAACTCAGTCCCTGTGCGATGTTTCTGCTTGTACCAGTGCCCGTCGGGACTCAGCCCCATGAAGGACAGCTCCGGCTGCTACGACCGCCACGTGGGCGTGGACTGCTCCGACGGCTTCAACGGCGGCTGCGAGCAGCTGTGCCTGCAGCAGGTGTCGCCGTTCCCCGACGAGCCCGCGCTCTACAACATCCTCATGTTCTGCGGGTGAGTCGCCTCCGCAGGCCACGGCCCCCTGGGCCCGCGTGGGCTCTGAGGAAAGAGCCCTCCAGGAGTCGGCTGGGAGGAGCCCGGGACGGTCCAGCCCAGCCCCTATCCTAGAGGGAAGCTGAGCCCGGGATTCACCTGCAGGCGGAAATAAGCCACACAGTTTACTTAACTCATTCCCTGCTTAAACCAGAATTTTCCAAATTGTGTTTTGTGGAGCTATATTAATCAGGTGTGTTGTGACAAAAGGTTTCCGCGTTCTAAAACTTAGAAAAGATTGTGCAACACTATTCAAGTCTCAGAGCAGTGGGGCAGTCTTTGGAGAAGCGGAAACTTGTTTAAGTTCTGCACCCCAACTCCCAGCTCTCGTGCAGCAGCCTCCTATGGCACAGGCCCTCCGTGCAAGGAGCCCGCTACGTGGACGGGCTCTGCACCCTCCTTTCATCTGTTCTCAGGATGGCTCTGCCAGGGAACAGGGTGGGCCCCGCTCCCCGTTTTACAGGGGAGAAAACGGATGCACAGTGAGGCGAAGTGACTCCCTCAAGACTGGGGGAAAATAGGAGGATTAGGACTAGAATTTCGGCGTTGTCTGATTTTTTGAAAGTTCTGCAGTTCTCTCAAAATTTGAATTCACATCACTGACTGGAATTATATTTAAAAACATTTTTGTGCTATATTTATAAAGTAAGTAAGGATTTAGCCCATTCCTTTATGCCCGTGGTCTGCTGGTCTGTCCTGCCCTCCCTTTCCTCCCTCACTCCCCCTTCCTGCCTCCCTTTCTGCCCTCCCCCTTCTCTCCCCCCATTCTCTCCCCCTCTTCCTGCTTGTCAGGGACCGTGCTTAGTTTATGCCATAAAATGTGCTGGTCACCAAGCTGCAAAGATGAGTGTTCTGATGTGCAGTCCTTGCCCTCAAGGGTCTCACAGTCTAATAGGCTTGCAATAAAAATCAATGTTTATAGTAATAAAGCTATGCTGGCTTGTTGCTAAAAGGCAGTGCCTGCTGAATAATCATGAAAAGATTATTCAGTGGAGTTGTAATGTTATTTTATTGTATTTCATTTCATTTTATTTTATTTCTTTGTAATTGAGAAATTTTCATACTCAGTTTCTTGTAAAATTCCATTCCATAAATGGAAGTTTGCTCTAAATTTTAACGTTCTCTATCATGTTATCATTAGGGCTGACCCACTTCAATTGATAGAGGTCAACTCAGCCAGTTCCATACCCTTATTGATTTGATAAGCATATATTTGAGCACCTGCTTTGCTCAGAGAGCCAGAGTGGGATGCCAGGCATGGGAGCAGCGACAGATACTCGCCCGGAACCTCCCCTCAAAGGAGTTTGCAGGGGCACACACAGCCAGGAGAGTGAGGGACAAGGCAGGGGGCCGGAAGTTGTCGAGGTGTTCAGGGGACTGAGAGGGAACCAGCCAGCTTTAAAATTCTTCCAAGAAACTGTGTTGTGGCTCAAGGAAGGAGCCACCTCGCTGTCTTTCCCAGACCTCAGCTGGTGCTGTAGAAGCCTCTGTGGGTCTCAAGCCACATCTTTTGCCTGGGAATTAGACACACTTGTGTGCTTACCACTAGGCGGGGTGCTGTGTATAGCCTGCCAAAGAAGTCCTTGATTTGAGGTTCTTACATAAAGACCAAATCACATGCACTTATAATTAAAAAGTTCTGCTCATGTCTGTTCACATGGTCAACAGGAAAACAAGCAGTTAAAGTTGCATGAAAGGGGGCCTTATTTGCATGTCTACTACTACTGCTAATAACAACATTCAAGATTACTAGCTATGTATTAGGCACTGCATACATTCTTTACATTCGGTATCTCAATTCATCTTCTCAGCAACCCAGTGTAACAGCTACTTTTTTTACCCTTTTTACAGTTTTGGAAACTGAAACTCAGCGAGGTTAATCAACTGGTCCAAGGTTACCCAGTAAAGAGCAGAGTCATTGCTATTACAATATCGCTTCTTACCACTGAAAACCAGGATCATTTGTACCTCTATATAGGACAGAGATCCTTATTTTATTTTAAAAATTACTGTAGATAGTATTAAATGATGCACTTTAATATCATGAGCATATTTAAATTCTAAATCTGGTATATTTTTAAGGAGAGACCCAAATTAAATCAATATTCTTTTTCAATGGCAGCTTTATCAAAGTAGTTCTTTATAAAGTAGTTCATTATAACTACAAATAAGGTCCGATCAATGACTTACGAGTCACTGACCAATATTCACCAACGTTAGTACTGCTTTTCCCTCAGAGCCACTGTGCATGCGCAGTGGGAGGGTGCCAGGGAGGCAGCCGCTGGGTAATGGTGCACATGGCGTCCACACTGTGTGCCTAGGTCGCTTCAGGTCAGGAAGGCTGCTCTGTCCGAATGGAGGGGCTGTGCATTGGCCTTGCATTTGGATACACTCAAACAGAATGCAGCCAGGAGATGATAGATCTTTCTAATTTCTTAGTTGACTTGTCACAGGACCAGATTAGAAAGTTATTAATTTCCTAAGAACAGTGTCATTCCTTTTGCTGCCTAATTACCCTCCAAACAAATGCAGGGTCTGTCTGTATAGACGGTTGGTGAGAAGGCTCCAGCACATCTTGGATTGAAGTGTGTTAACTCATTTATGAGCTTATCTTCAGTGAGTCTTACCCTGACCTATTTTGGAAATCGTAATTATTAGAGGAGAGGGCATTCTGAAATTCTGAAAGCACTTACATGCAAAGAAAAGGTGAGAGATTTGATACATCACCTGACAGAAAAAGCCTCAGTTTACAGGCTTAAGAAACCAAGTTATAAAGGGATCAAAATCAAATTGGAATATTCCCAGTCTTTGGTCATTGAACAGTCTCTCAAAGGCCTTTCTTCCCAATTGACTGGGTTGACGTGTCTGCACAGCGCACTGATGAAATACCTTCTTATCTTGAGCTGTCCACCGTGTTAGGTGCATTGAGGATTACAAGCTGGGTATGGACGGACGCTCTTGCCAACTCATCACGGAGACCTGCCCGGAGGGAGGTGACTGTGGGGAAAGCAGGGAGCTTCCCATGAATCAGACCCTCTTCGGGGAGATGTTCTTTGGTTACAACAACCATTCCAAGGAAGTGGCTGCTGGACAGGTGCTGAAAGGAACATTCAGGTAAACTTCATGTGCATAGAACTGATTATTCAGGTCTGTTGGTGGATCTCTTCTCTAAAGAGCTTTACACTCAGCACAAAGTTTTGTCTCTTGAAGCAAGGTAAATGTGATATGCCTAAAAGGATAGATGATGTTCTCACCCATGGACTTCTCCAAGTCTATATTCCTTCTTCCAGAATCCAAGACCCAGGCTTTTCCTGGGCGAACAGTAAAATGTTAAGTGAGGTTTTACTTTGCCCAGGGAGGGACGGCAAGATTTTGCATGGAAGCCACGCCAAAACACTCACGTTCCATTTCCCTCTGAATGGAAGAATCAAGATGTGAGTCAGTCTAGATAGCAGTACTCAGAGAGGGATCTAAGGATCTCTGAAGGCCTTTGAAACTCTTAGGGTGTGGCGTATTCAAGGTCCGCGTTTTCCAGCTACAGAAAAACTGGATTTTTTTTTACATACATTAATCCAAACAATATAGTTCAATAAATTGAATTCAGAAGTGAGAATCCAGCTGCTTTAAGTCAGGCATTTTAAAACTTTGCACAAACATGTAAAGTAATGCCACTCCTCTCATTTGTCATAAAATATGTTAATATTGACTGGATTTATTATCATTAATTTAAAATGAACTAACACATGTTTTAAATTTTTGTTTTAATTTCTAATACAATAAATATTGATAGATATAATTGGAACCTTATTATACAAATATGATAAAGCTACTTGGGGCCTTCAGTTATTTTTAAGAGTGTAAAGGGTTCCTAAGAACAAAATGTTCCAAACCATTGATTTAGAATATTTCTACCTGATTCCCTATTTGACACCTGTCCCTGTTCTACTTTAGACTATTTGAGTACATCTTTTTCACAACCCATTGGAAAATACTTCCAGGAGATGATGATGATGATGATGATGATGATGATGATGATGATATGATGATGAAGATGATGATATCAGTGTTATGATGTGGACCAGCAGTTGATAGCAAGCAACCTGGGCCTAGACTTTTATGAGCAAACTAATTGTAAATTTCCAAGACAGTTCTTGGAGTCGGTTGCTTTTTCCATTGCAGACAGGACACTTTACTAATATTTTGCCTTTTAGCCTAGGTATTTGTTTGCCAAAGGCAAGACAAGTGTTGCAAAGAATCTCGTGGTGGTGGCGGCTGTAACCTTCACCATAGTCTAGAAATGAGACAGTGTGTCCAGATCTTGTCAAGAGAGGGCCTGGGATGTGAGGGAGGGAAGAGCGTTTGCTACCCTTTCAGTAAACCTTCTCAGCCGGTTTGTTTCTCATGTCCCCCAGCCCTCACCCAACCGCCCACATCCATGTGTCTTACTTTTGACATGTATACCAAATGGGGTTCAAGGTAAGGGAAAATTTTGGGTGCAGAAAGAGTTTTTACACTGTGGGTTGAAATATAGATTGCCCACCAACACATGGGGTTCACCTGAACACTCAGAAATGAAGGTCTTCCCCATTTCTAGGCAAAACAACTTTGCTCGTGGTTTAGACCAGCAGCTGCCAGATGGTCTCGTGGTGGCCACCGTCCCGCTGGAGAACCAGTGCCTGGAGGAGATCTCGGAGCCCACCCCCGACCCCGACTACCTGACTGGTGAGTGTGCCTTCCTGTCCTTACTAAACCAGGAAAAACCACAGCGCCCTGTGGCTTCATAAGATCAAGACTCTTGACCTCACGTATTTTGGTTTCAAAAACAGTGATTTCCTTGATACACAATAAAAGCTCAGCCATAAAACCGAACAGTGACACTAAAATTGCCAACGTTATTGTATAATCACCTGCAAAATGGTAGTAATAATATCTTTCTTCATTGGTTTCACAATTTGCTTTGAAAACAAATAACGTCAGTAGATGTTCAGAGCCCTGGGTGGGATTAGAGGAAGTGATCAGGTCTCAGAGGCAGAGAGAGAAGCTAGCTTGCTACTGTCACCTAACCCATCATCACTGTTATTGGTTTCCTGGCAAATACTTGTGGACCAGTGTGAGGGAATCAAAAATGAGAGAGTGTTGTTGTCCCACCACCTGGGATTTGACTCTGCTACTTCTAGCTGTGCTGCACATGGTCTCTCTGGGCCTCGTGGGCCCGCGTAAGTTGGGGATAATGACGCCCGACCACAACGCTGCTGGGAGCCCAGCAGCCTTCTTCCTCTGGGCTCACAGAACAAAGGTGCACTTGGTTGAAAGAGGCAGGGGCCTCAGGGTTTGCTTCTTTGCACCCCTGGAGACCCCCAGTTAATGCTTCCTGGGCCGAGGAAGAGACTTGAAGGTGCCCCATGGACATTGAAAGGAGATAATTGAGATTTGCATCACTTGCTAGATGACTAGACATGAGCTCAGTTCCATGGTTCGCTTTGCTTATTTCTCCATTACTCCTCTCCCCATTCATTCTATGCCTCCCTATGCACACCTCCCTCTCCTCTTTCCTGTCTCTTCTAAAGAATGGATTGAGCTAAGGGTAGGCCTTTTCCAGAATTAGGTTTATGTTAAAAACATTGAAGTGAGTCTGTCTGAGGGGATGTGGCATACTTAGTAGCAGCCTCGGCTCTGGGGCCTGGCAGCCAGGCTCAGTTCCTCACTGGCCGTGTGATCTGGACAAGTTACTTAACTTCTCTGTGAGAAATGGGTATTATAATACCACCTTCCTCCTAGGATTAATATGAGGAATAAATCAATTAATATTTGTAAAGTTTTAGAACAGTTCTTGACACAGTGGGATCTATGTTTGTTAAATAAATAAATATTCTGAGAAAGAAAGAAAATTGTATGAAAACTACCAAACAGTATCTTCCCCTTAGGAAAAGAAAGAACTAGAGAGAAAACAATAAAATATATTCTGGACCAGCAATAAATCTCTTAAAAATAAGTTGTCCTATAAAATACCACACACACACACACACACACACACACACACACACACACACACACAGCTGAAGAAATGAAAATGCAACCTGCATCCTCTGGACATGTCCCTACAGCTTACATATCCGCATTAGGGACTCAGTTTCCTTGTTCCCACAAGGTTTGCTCAGACACACTCCCCATGTGTGTGAACCGCCTTCTGAAGGCCGTGTGAGTGGCACATCCCAATAGGGGAGTTCCACACCAGCACTAAACTGCTTGGCTCTGTTCAAAAGCCCAGGACATCTATCTCGGACTTTGTAACTTATTGTGGAGGAGGAGATTTTATTTCGGTTACCAGGCTAGGAGGGTACCCAGAGGAGTTCCAGAGGCTACTTGAAGCTTTTGGGGACAAGTAGGTAGATGGATCTGAGAAACATCAGAAAAACATGTGTTTTCCTGTACATCTTTGAGAGTAATAAAGAAATCCAAACTTGATCCTCATCCACAACAGAAACTTCTTTCCCGCCTGTGCACATGGACCTCTCTCAGTGTGGCTTACAGGTGGCAGAAGGAACAGAAGCGTATCCAGATGGGGCACTTTCTTTGTTCATGGTCCTGAGCGGTGACGTCTAATATTCCTAAAGGCGTAGAGGGAATTCTTGGCCTGGCTACTTTTCTACCTACCCCTTGTTTTTAACCTATTTTGGTTAAGAAGTGGTACCAGTTAGGCCAAGAGCGTGTATTTTCTCTGACATAAGCAAGGATTGGGCTTGTTTTAAAGCCCAACATAAGTAGAAGAATCAATTAAAGAGCCTGTTGACCAAACTTTTTCCATATTAACTCTAGGTCCGGCAACATTTTAATTGTCTCTTTCCTGAGAGTTATACAGTAAATCTTATATCATGTCACACTATATTCTAATATAATATTATAGGTCATAATCCCCATAAACCTACAAGCTTAGAGGACTTTAGAGCTCAAGTGATCTTCAGAATCTTCTGTATCAGCATTTCCAAGCATGTTTTTTTGTTTGTTGGTTTTTAAAATGAAAAACCAGGGCTCCATTCATAAATGAGTCCTGTCTTCAAATGCTCCTGGGCAGACTCTATGTCGTATCCTTCTCTCAGCAATCAGCAGCACAACACCTTAGCGTCAGGAAAGCTTGCAAGAAGCCCTACAGTAAAGAAATCCCTGTCACCTTATTTAAGCCAGCAACTCCCAGATCTATTTAACCAGAGAACCCTTTTCATGTGTGACACCTGTCTCCATGGTGCAGAATTGTTAGTTTGAAGAACGCCCTGGAAAGTACTGGTCTACGTATCTCATCTTGCTGATGGCTTCCGTCTCCATCAACAGAACATTTAAGGACTTTGAGCTCCATCGGCCTTTCTGGAACACTGTAAGTTGTGTGGAAATAAATAAAGACCAACCACATGAGAACAGGCAAACGCTATTCATTCAGAGCTTGCTTTCGCAGCCATTACTTGTGCTCTGGCAGAGACTCAAAGGCAGGCAGGGCAGGGGAAGGGCTTATTGTGAATGAAGAGGAGGCTTCAAGTGTGTCCGTGTCGAGGCTGCCGGCCGGGGCAGCTGTGGAAGTGGCCCCAGTGTGGGTGTTTAGGGTGCATAGTTTGCCTTGTCTGGTTGGACCTGCGTGGGAAGTGGGGACAAAAATCAGAGCAGTTGTTAGCTATTAATCAAGTCCTTGGGGGCCAGTTGGTATAGGGGTTATTGTTTGGCTTCTTGGGCTGTTTGTTAGAGACAGTGTCTGACTTCCTACAAGTTTGACTCGTAAATAACGGTTTGGCTTCCTGGACTGGTTATTATAGAAAATATGTTAGTTTCTTGAGCTGGTTGCTGCAGATTGTTGGTCAGAGTTCTGTTTTTGTATGTGGTCTGGCCATTGTCAATTTGTATATTCAGTCTTTTAATTGAGAAAAAGAGGGAGTTCAGAGATGGACTAAGGAGGTAGTGTAGGCTGCTGGCTGTAGCTATAGGCCTGTTGGGTGCTATAGTCATTAAATCTATGTGAAGATTTAGAACTCTGGGCTCTTTGGAACTTCAAGTTTATTCAAAGGGAATGGGCTCTTGGCTTTAGAACTTTGGGGAAATAAACTATATATCCCTCTGACATTTAAAATAAAATAACAAGAGAAAACTAGTTTTCTTTCCTTCCTTCCTTCCTTCTTTCCTCCCTCCCTCCATCCCTTCCTTCCTTCCTTCCTTCCTTCTCTGTCTTTGGAGATTGCACATGAAGTCTGTTCAGTCATTCTTTTCTCAATCACAGGTAGGAAAAAAATAATGTTGTCTCTCAAGAAAACATAGTGAGATATTTTGTTTTAAAAAAAGAGTCATTCAGCAGACATATGTCCCAAAATAATATTAAAATAAAATAAAAAAATAAAAACTAAGCCTGACTGTATGTCAAGGGCACACTGAGAAAGAATTCTGTGACTCAGCTAGAAAACATATAGTTTAAAACATCCCTTTCGTTTAGCTAATGGAAATATTATCCGTAAGCGAGCACAGAAAACGCCTTTCCAAACATTAGCAGTTATGTAACTGTTTGCCTGGCTGTGGTGTAGCATAAATGCACACAGCAGAGCTGTCCTGCAGTTAAGCAGTGGGGTTCAGCTGTTTGGCTCTTCTTGGGTGGATGTAGGGCACTGTCACCCTACCAACCCCTCCACCGCACCCCACATTCACCCCACATATCTTCCCTCTGTTGTCCTGGACAAAAGCTTGGATGTTGTAACAAAAGCACCAGCGATGAGATGCTAGGCTTGCACAGCTGGGGGAGATGAGGGAGGGTAAGGAGGAGGAGAGCGGCATTAAGGAGGCCAGTCATGTGCATGGTGCTTTATCTTTTCTCAAAGTATTTTCGTGCCCATAATCGAATTTAGTTCTCATGAACTACCTGTAAAATAGATAGGGTGACTACTACTATCCCCATTTTTCAGATGTGAAAACGGAAACAAATGAGTTGCTAGCCCAGATTCACACAACTGGTGGGAATCACAGAATTGAAAAGGAAGCAAGAGATCATCTTCACTAAGCCTCTTACTTTACAGATGAAACCAGTTGGAACCGAGAGATCCGCTAGCCAGGTAGCCAGAGAGGATACTCAGGTTGTGACAACAAAAAGTTGTGGCTATAAAATACCATTCTGAAACTGCTGACTGCGGCAATATAGCCAGCTTGGAACTCAGGTTGCCTGTTTCTTTTTCTACTAGGAAACAATTCAATTAAAGACAGTGATTACTAATAAGTTGAAAAATTGTTATTCAGTGGGCTTGCTTTTATTTTTTATGAATAGGCTTTTGAAAGTAACAGCAAAGCTGACGAGTTGCCGTAGCTCGCGAGTGCGTGCTGTGTGGACTCTCCGTGCCACACGCTGTGCTCTAATGAAGCGTCTCTGTGGTGTGTGCACGAGGGCTTAAACTTGTGAAGTGAGAATTTCACTGATATGCTTTTGAAGTTAACATAAAGGTTAAAACCCAAAACATGTAGCAGTATGACTGCTGATGGTCATGACGCTTAATGCCCTAAAAGAAGAACATTTGAAACTCATAGTGCTGGAAACCTTCTCTTAGTTTCAGGTAACTTATCTTTGCCTAAGATAAAATTTAAGCAATTGATTCACTAAGCACCTTTCCTGACCTTTTTTTCTTTTTGCCTTACCAATAATTATTCCCATATGATTCACACAGGAATGGAAATTTGGTAATTACTCAGCTAATTTGATCAAGGTTGACAAGCAGCTAATTAATCCTGCCTACTCTTCATCCAGTTTAGGTATTGAATTAGTTGATTTAGCCTGAAGGAAGCATGGGTCAAATGGCAGGATAATTCACTATATATGCATTATTGCCATTATATTTGCATACGCATGTACATAGTCTCTCTATAGAGTATATATATATATATATATGCTTACTATATATACATATGTGTGTATACAAATGTATACACATATGCAAATGTGTGCATATATATTCCTATAACTTACACATATAGCAAACATTAGGCATAGAAATGAAACTAAAATTGGTTTTCTAAACTTAGCAAGGTGATTTTTTTATTTCCTGTGGCCTAATTATTTTGTTTCTCTAGCATTTTATATTTATAGTAATGGCTAGAATTAAAATAGGGTGACATTCTTTCTCTGAGGTGCTCAAAGAAGAACAGCCCATTAATAACCTCTCTAAGAAGCTCCAAAGATGTGTTTATTGAGAGTGACCTTGGACAACTAACTTAATTTCTCAGATCCTCAGTTTTTCCATTGATAAAAGGGGGACTATAAGTTCCTGTAGCAATGCCTGGCACATAGATGGCACTCAATATGTGTCCATCCTTGTCCCTTAATGAGTTAGTCACCCTGACACTGTCCCTTCTGGTAAAAGAGAAATAAGCATTATCAGCCTCAGAGTAATTAAAACCTAAATACCAAACACAAGTCAGTTAAATGAGACAGAAAAATCAATGTTATCAGGTATGTGATCTGAGTCAATTGCTGCAACCATTAAAAAGAGTGAAAATCTAGTGTATTACAGTAAGCCTGGAGTTTCATGTAAATTTGCTATAGGGATATTATGGTAGAGTGAATAAGAACTCCGGCCCAGCCTCTGAAACATCCGGAACCCCGTTCGGGCTTACCTGTTATCTGAGGGACCTTATATAAGGACCCTCTCTGAGCCTCAGTTTTCTCATTTGTAAAATTCAGATAGTAACACCTATCCCACAAGGATCAAGTGGCTTAACATTTGCAAAGTGCTTAACAAAATGCCTGAAACAGGTAAGGGCTTAGTAAATGATAGCTGTTGTTACTACGACTTCAGAAATCCTCTCCATCAAGGAACAATTTATCACTTTCTTACAATCACAACCCCAATTACAACCGGACATAATCAAGTCAGGTCACATTTTTCATCTGGGATGTGGAACAATCCGACTCACTGAGCCTACGTCTCCTCTGGCCCCAGGGATGGTGAACTTCAGCGAGGTGTCCGGGTACCCCGTCCTGCAGCGCTGGAAGGTCCGCTCTGTGATGTACCACCTCAGACTCAGCCACGCTGCCGTCTCCCAGGGTGAGTGCCACCGCGGGCATCCTTCCACCTCCCCAGGGATGCGCCCCGTTCCAAGGGGACAAGCCTCAGTCCTGCTGTTGAAGATGCAGCCTAAAATGTAGCTGCCCTGCGACCTATCTGCTCAGATTCACCCTGAAGCGCAGCTGGCTGGACGGGGACCCTTTCTAAGCACAGATTACACTGCAGGTTTTAGCCTGGCCTGTAGAAGAGGTGGAAGGGGCAAGGCTGGAACCAGTGAAGATATCATTTTTCCTGGGGGTCATTTGGTATGCAGAGAGGACATGCAAAAGCAGATGTTCCACAAACTGACAGAATAAAACACGCCAAATGCAAAGTGCATAATTTAGGATTCCATGCAATGAATAAGGGAAAGAGAGCAAGGAGAGGAAGGAGGGAAAATAGAAAACAGCTTAAGGCTCCTAAAGAGCAAATGAATGAAATAGAGATTGAGAGACTGAGAAAGGGGGGGGGGGAGAGATGTCTACAGCTATATCTATAGCTACTAAGTTAAGGATTAGTGAGTTATAAACTTACTTAGGGTCTTAGGGTCAGCAATACGGAGGTGAAGCCTTGAGGCCAACAGGAAGAAGATAAATGCTAGAGGACAAATAGAAGGTTCTGGAGAGAAGCAAGACATCTACTCACAAAGGGTAAAGCTTTGTGCATAAAGATGATGCATGAAGGATATAAAACATTTTCATAGGGCACAAAGAGATTCAGAGCTTTTTGGCAAGAAGGGATTGGGATGAGGATCTTACTGAAGGGAGCTCTTCTGGTGCAGAACATCTGGAAAGAACCAAGCCATTCTTTGTCGTAGGAACATACGGCAGTGGCAACCTTACCTTGTTCACATACTCAGTTTGCACCGGCACAGGTGCTGTGCATATCAGGGGTTGACAGTTGAATACCTCTGCTGCCACATGCCTTTAAAGTCACAAATGGCATCGTAAGGGATGTGGACCTTGGCACCAGACTCCTCCTTGCCCTGACAGGACACAGGCGTGTAGAAAAGAGAACTGTGTTAACACTGGCCAGATCCGGAAGGTATCAGATTTGGAAAATTTATTATAGGCCATCTCTCAAACACGTTTATAGTAATTCTCTTAAAGAGAGACAGCACACCCAAGGAGATTTGGCTCAGGTGATGGGGGGAAGGCAAACATCTTTCTTCCACTTATCACTTCCCAGTTCTTTTACTTTTGATGTTCTGAAATAAAATATAAGCAGCATATTAGCGACTTTGTTTTTTACCTTTCTTCTTCTGTTGTCTTTCCAGTGCCCATTACTATGCCTGAAGGCAATATTCTGCAATTGCCTTTTCTTAGTCACAGTTAGAATACATTTATGTTGTGACCTTCTACATACACACACTCCCACACACGCACGACAGAAGTTTCGTGAAGCAATGCTGCATCTTCCCATGTGAAATGTTCTCTGCTGGTATTTGTGCTTCTATTTTAGGCTATGCTATTCTTTTTTTTTTCCCTTCAAATGCTATTATTTGAACTGACTAAATTGATTTAATGTCATGACCTGTGATTAAAAAGAAGAAGAAAACACTGACTTGGGGGGGGGCAGGAGTAGAGATTTGGCAGTGTTCTATTTTAACTTGCACAAAGTTTACAACACGACCAAGTGGGTTAAAAGTTACTCACTTAGTAACTGAAATGTCTGGTTTAGCTACGTGGAAACATCCACCTAATAGTTCTAGCCAGGTCTCCAACATCACTTTGGGCCACATAGGCGCGTCCGCATTTGGGCTGAATTCCCTGGGAATCCATATGCCCAAATTCTGAGTCCTGACTCTTGCTCCTGGGTGATGTTTCTCCATAGCCCTCAGCAATGCTCTCCACTCGCTGGATGGGGCTACATCTCGGGCAGATTTTGTGGCTTTGTTGGACCAGTTTGGCAACCATTACATCCAGGAAGCTATCTATGGCTTCGAGGAGTCCTGTTCTATCTGGTACCCAAACAAGCAGGTCCAGCGGCGACTCTGGATGGAATACGAAGACATCAGTAAAGGTGAGTGGCCTGCTCATCAGCACGTTCTACACCCCACACCAGCACTGGCTGCCCAACTGTGACCCACAGGACCCAACTTAAGGATTCTATAGGAACGTAATTAATTCAGATTTTCCCTTACTTTTCTGTGTTAATCCTTAAAATTTCCAAGGTTTGGTTGCTAAAATTAAATCTCAAAGGAAGGTGTTTGGAGGAATTCAGATGTAGGATGGGGTCAAAAGTGCGTGATCACTGTGTTAGTTATCACCGAGAGAGTGTCTAAAGGTTTCTGCCAGCCACCAGCCACTCTGCCGCAGAGCGAGGGCAAAGCATGGGATTGCTCTTAGGCAGCAGGGGAGCGGGAAGAGTGGGGTTCACTGCCGCCCCCCTCCTCCAGCAGCCGCGCCCTGCACGGCCTGCATCCCTCTCCAGCAGTTGGGACAGTCTCGCTCCGTCCCGCCCTCGCCGGGGCTCACTCTTCCTACTGTTGTGCTGTAAGAAAATCCCCACTGGACCAAGTGTTTACACAGGTCAGCATGACGGGCTCACAAATAAAAATCCGTGTCTGCTGTTTCGACAACAAGTTAATATTCAGTCCAAGTAAGTATAAACAATTGGAATTTTTGAAACCACCTTAATTCACCTTCTGGTACAGCAGGAGCACTGCCCAGGATATTTGTAATCTGATCAACCAAAATGGCTTTAGAATTGCCATTCACGGGATTTCTTCTGAGCTTCTCCACATGGCATTTGGATGAGGCCCCGTTGCGGATATGTGACTTGCTAAATGATGCAATGAAGACTCAAGAAATAAGTCACCTTAAGAATCAATGGCCAAGGAAGGGTCCCTCTGAGACAAGGGACCTCTGCTGTCAGCATAGCTACTCTGGGGCACATGTGACCCTGTGGCTGAGATGCCTTAGGTTCTCTGAGCTTCATACCAATTCCTGTTTCGCCTTGCTCGAGAGGTGGCAGAGCTGCCATGGCCTCTCCTCCGGCTGGGCCTTTCTCAGGAAGAAGCGAGAGGCGCATGTCTGGGCCACAGTTGCTGCACCATCCCCCCAGGTCCTGGTACTTCCAAACTCAAAGACACAACACAGGCTTCTGTTATCTCTTCAGACTTAAGGATCTTAGCTTTGTTCTGATTCCAATTTGCCAAGAGAGCAGTGTAATGCAAGCAAATATAGGCAGTGCCAGTTCCAGCTGGCACAGCTGTCCTGCGCCTGTGCCGGAGCCTGGGGGCTGAACCAGAGGCTGAATCCTCTGCCGTGTCTGCCTGCCAGTGGCTCCGGGGTTGCCAGGCTCTGTGATTGGTGGAGATGAGAGGCTGACCTTACCCAGAGCTCCTGGTTCTCTATCCTTTGCTTCTAGCCCGAGCGCTGCAGCATCCTTAAGGCTAAACACTGAGCCCAGGGAAATATGTCCACACTCCGGCATCATTGGCTACGCATCTTGATCTCAAGCCTCTCTTGCCACTCAAGGGCTTGTTTTGCCTCAGCCCAACTATTGACCTTAGTTCTTTGAAATATGATTTATATACCTCCATGCTTGTAATGGATTTTAAAAGATATTCAAACATTTTATTATGTCAACTTCAGTCTCTGTCAATTGTCCATGTCTACCACCTAAACCTTGCCTCTATGTTGTAGGGTTTATATGTTTTGTTGTTTAGTCTGATTCTTGCTTTAAATATTTTCCTCCTCCCTAGCCCTAATTTTCTTTCATTCCAGAACCCTGCATGGGAACATGTTACTGACTAAGAATGATAAGTGCACACGACAAAGGAGGATGTCCTTCTATTCTGCACTCTGAGAGGACCGATACAGAGTGAGACTTTATGCTAGGGTGACAAGTGTGCTGAGAGGGCTGTACCTTCCATGACACACAAGCGGACTCTCCTTTTGGACTTGCGACCTTCGATTATATGTTCTTGCCTGCTCTGCCTTTAAAACCCTTCTAGTGAAAAGGGTTTCTCTGTTTTTGACTTCTGTTCCTATGACCACTTACCTAAAATTGCTTATGGATTGAATAGGAAAGAAACATTTATCAAGGTGAAATGAAATGGAAAGAGCACAGGATTTAAGGGTTGGAAATCTAGACTTAGGCAGGTGATATGGCTTTAGTCAGTTACTTGTCTGGACCCCATCTGCAATGCCCTCTGTGGCCCCCAGCTATCATAATTCACGGACCCATATGAATTCTACTTTATGTGGGGAAGTGTACTCATGTTAGTCATTTAGGTAAACGACCACAAAATCACAAAATTCTCAAGAGTAGTTTCTATGCTTTGTTTAACTTTAAATTCCCAGATTCTACCACACTGCCAAGCACATAGTGAGCACTCAACAACTGTTTATTGTCGCTGTTGTCTGGTTGTGGTGGCGGTGGTGGTGGTAAAAGCCCTTCTGCTGTGGTGACTTCCGTCGGGCGTTCTTGTAGACATGTAGCATGCTTTAGTTACACCTGACTGATGAAACTTCAGAGGTGGGTGTGTTGAGCCAGACCTTCAGAAGGAAGTCATCCATTCAACAGGGACTTATTTGTCATACTTCGCCTATGTGGTTTGGCCATACCAACATTGAGCATCATCTCTCTGTAAATAAGTCTTATGGATGCCTGTGCAAAACATACTTCCATTTATAATCACCTAAGATTAGCCTATCTTAATTTTTTTATACAGAGCAATTGGAGATTATCAGAAATGGAAGTCTCCAATTCTCCCACCTCCCCTGTCCCATGTCTAAACGTATTCCATCGTGTCCCGCCATCCCTGGTCTCAGACAATGTTGCCAGCCCCCATGCTACCCTGTCCTCCTGCGCACCGGCTCCTTCCCTCTCTGCCTCCTCTGAGACCTCACCCACTCGCTATTCCTCTGCTTTCTGATCTCTGCCTTCTCTTCAGCCCCTGAATTCTCTCTTCTCCAGCCTCGTGTTTTCTAGAAAATAATCTTTTTATAAACATGTGACCTTTTTCCTGCTGTTTCTTTTTAATGCATTACCACCAAATTGCTTAAAAGAGTAGTTTCCACATCTTCTCTCTACCTTCTCAACTCCATTTCACTCTTCAAATTATTGCCCTCAACTCCCGACATGCTGCGTGGGACGGCGCTGGAGAGGGAGGTCGGCCTCGTCCTCAGAGGTGCCCTGATGCCCAGCCTGGGCCTGCGCCGTCCGTCTCAGCCGAGCAAGTTGTCCCTGCCCACCGGGCCGCCGTCTGGAAAATTCTCTCCTCCCTCGTCGCCCCCAGCCACTCTGTCCAGATTCTCTTCATGAATCTCTAGCCTTTATTCCTCATTCATTTTTGACCGCCCTCCTCTAAAGAAATCATTTGCGTTTCATCACTTTCCAGGGGCTCGAGCTCAACCCGTGTCTTTCCTCGCTACTGCTGGGCGCTTCCCGTCGCATCTGCCGCACCTCGGCCTCGGCTCCTCTCCGGTTCGGTTCAAGGCTCACAGGTCACCGGCCGGGTGCGGGGTGGCCCCTGGGCAGTCTGCGGCCGCGGAGAGCGCTCTCCGTCCTCTGCCCACGCGCCCCGCTGTGTCCCGTGAAGGCCACTGCCAGGACGGCGGGGCGCCCTCCAGGCTCCTCCAGCCCCACATCCGCCGCACGGCGTCCTTCCCTCCACCGAAACAGTCCCCAACAGGTGTCTCTCCTCCCCATTCCTTCCAGGACCTCTCTATAAAAACGATTGAAATAGCTTCCGCACGTATCTCCTGTGCTGCAGTCTCCTGCCACTCCACTCCTTTCCATAATTCACCATCTGTCATCTTTTTAAAGTGCAGCTTGCTGGCGTCCCTCAGCTTGACGCCCTTCACCCACTCCTCACCGCCTTCCCCGCAGCAACGCAGGCTTCACTCCTGTATTAGTCCCCGATGGCTGCTGTAACAAAGTGCCACAAACTCGGTGGCTTAAGACAACACATATTTGTTCTCTTACAGTCCTGGAGGCCAGAAGTCCAAAATCAATTTTGCTGGACTGAGTCGAGGTCTCAGCAGGTCTGGTTCCCTCTGGACACTCGAGGGAGGAATCCTCTCCTTGTCCTCTCCAGCTCCTAGGGGCACCTGTGCTCCTTAGCTTGTGACCCCTTCCTCCGTCTTCACAGCACATCGCTCCGATCTCTGAGTCACATGGCCTTCTCCGTGACTCTGACTCCCCCAGATCCCTTTTATAAGGGCCCTTTTGATTGCACTGGGCTCACCCAGATAATCCAGGATAATATCCCTATTCTTAAGAGCCTTAATTTAATCACATCTGCAAAATCCCCTTTACCATTCGCAGGTTCCTGAGATTAGGACTTGGGGCACCATTAGTCAGCCCGCCACCCCTCTGACCTCTCCAGCCATTGCATGACCGACTACTGCCAACCCTGAGCACCCGGCTCTGATGACACAGGTTGCTTGCGGCCAATCCAGAACCCTTTCGTTTGCTTCCACATAGTTCAGGGCCCTTGGGACTCCCTCCCTGCCCCAGGCCAAGGCCACAAGTGTTCTCTCTAAAGTCTCTACCACTAGTCTGTCTCACTCAGAAATTTGCTTTTGGGTCCCTCTCTTGTCCTCCACTTGAAACTCTCTTTTTCTCTTGTTTCCTGGTGTCTGTCCTGTTGCCTAATTTCTAGGGGGGCCTTTTTCTCTTTCTTGGCCCATAGGATGAGCAAATTAGTCTTCCTGGCTATGATTTCTGTTTCTTCCCTGAATTTTTGAATTGCCCCGTGAGCTCTATAAATTGCCATTTAAATTGCCATCAAATGATACCCTGCCCAGTGTCAGGCCCCAACTTGGGTGTAGGACCAAGGTTCCCCCTTGTTTGGAAGAGGGCATTGAGGTTTTTCACACTTCTGAACTTCAGAGCCTGTGATTCTCAATCTACCTAACCTTGCCTGCCATCCCTCCTTCTGACCATGCAAGAGCGAGCTGGTACGCCACCACTCCTCCCTTGAGCTCTGGGCAGAGCTCTCTGATGCCTATTTTATACTCTTACAGCCTTTATATGGATCCTCTGGCAGCACTCTCCACATTCCCTGG